ATATAATGGCTCATATTGAGTAAAGGTCTGTTGGGTTGGATTCTCAAGGCTATCTTCTTGGCAGAATGATAGGCAGTTAGTAAGATCAATGACCAACCTGACTGTGAGAACTTTATATTTCTCTAGAGCTTCTTAAATGCACTAAGGTCCCTTCCAACTCCCCTCTATCAAGTGGGTCAAACAGGTAGCGTGATTAGGGGAAAGGATGAACTAAAGTCAACATAATATTATTGTCACTAAAAATATGCACACATAGGAATTGGGTTTGAATGTTGGTCCAGTAGTTTTGTGAAAATAAAATCTGGGGTTTAAAACAAATAAAACCTGAGGCAGGGGTGTGCTTAATGTACCTCCAACAGGAGACTTAAGGAAAATTGGCAACTGAAAATTAAATTAAATAACATGTAGCAGAAGCTGATATTTACTAAAAGCTTACAATGTGCATGTAATCTGCAAAGTGCTTTAATTTTCATAAACCTAGGAGAGAGGTGCTATTAGTACCTTCATGTCACAGATGAGAAAAGTGAGGTACAGAGGATTACACAGATCATAAATGACAGACTTAGAATTGTTACACGGGAAGTTTTCAGACATTTTCATTCTCTAATTGCTATTTTGAGTAGGCAGTGTGAAAAAACTACCTAGACTTAAACACTATAAGAGATACAGAAATGTCACTGGAAACAGATGTAATCCAAGTTTGTTAAAACAATTCCATGAATTGACATGATCCATAGGGCATTTCCCACTAGCATTAGTCCTTCTCTCTTCCATCTATTGTTCTTCAATCCATAGTGGAACTAACCATCTGTATCTTTCAGGGTAAACATCTATTCCTTCATTCCTGTTTTCTGTAGGTTAATCTCCAGAACCGCGTCAACCAAACTAATTTCTCCTCTGTCACAGAGTTCCTGTTGCTGGGATTCTCCAGCTTTGGAGAAATTCAGCTCATCCTCTTTGCTGTTTTTCTGTGCCTCTATCTGATTATCCTGAGTGGGAACATCACCATTGTCACTGTCATCTGCCTGGATCACAGCCTCCACATACCTATGTACCTCTTCCTAGGGATCCTCTCCATCTCTGAGACATGCTACACCTTCGTCATCCTACCCAAGATGCTCATAAATCTTTTATCTCTACTCAGAACAATCTCATTTATTAACTGTGCCACTCGGATGTTTTTCTTCCTTGGTTTTGCTATCACCAATTGCATGCTACTTGGGGTCATGGGTTATGACCACTATGCTGCCATCTGTCATCCACTTCGGTACCCTCTCCTTATGAGCTGGCAGGTGTGTGGACAACTGGCAGCCACTTGTGCTGTGATTGGTTTTTTGTTCTCACTGATAGGCTCCCTCTTAGTCTTTGAACTCCCTTTCTGTGGCCCCAACAAGATCAACCACTACTTCTGTGACATCACACCAGTTATCCGGCTTGCCTGTACTGATACCTACATCAGTGAACGGGTCATCTTCATTGGTGGAGTTCTGGTGCTCATAGTTCCCCTGACTTTCATTTGCATCTCTTATGGCTTCATTGTTTGTACCACCCTGAGGATCCCATCAGCTGAAGGCAAGCGAAAAGCCTTCTCCACTTGTGCCTCCCATCTTACTGTAGTCATTGTCCACTATGGCTGTTCCTCCTTTGTCTACCTGCGACCATCAGCCAAGTACTCATCCAGCAAAGATAAGCTTGTGACAGTGACCTACACAGTTGTGACTCCATTGTTGAACTCCATGGTATATAGCCGCAGGAACAAGGATGTCCAGGTGGCCATTTGGAAAGTGATTGGCAGAGGAGGATTTTATCCTAAAGCTCTGTAATAAGAATACTTCACATCTATGAAAACATCCTTTCTGAGGACATAGCAATAATTATAAAGTTGATGATACTGTTGTCTTTCATTTAGATAGCACTTTATAGCCTCATAGTGCAAGCTTCTTTATGGTATTATTTTGATAGGCTTTGTGGAGTGCAGTCTTAAACTTGCATTAATTATTAATCAGATGCAAGTCTCAAATACTCCTAAACTTGCACAGCTAAGTATTTTGCTTTTCAGAATACTTAATTAAGAATGATTTTAGTCTCTTCCAGTAAGGATAAGTAACATATTATGAATGGTGATTCAGTATAGAAGACTTAGCCATCACAACTTCTCAGTGGTTTAGGAAAATCTTAGTAGAGCCCTTCACAAAAATATCATGGAAAAAATGGAATAAATCTAATCAAAAATTATTAACATAATCATGACTATTAGCATTGGGAAGGACCCAAGGCTATCACTTACAATTGTTCTGTCATTGCAGGAGTTTCACTGACAGTATTCTAGCCTCTAAATTGACTCCTAAATAGGAAGTCATACCACTGTAAAATATCTCTATATGTCATAAAGTTCCATCTTTATAAATCTTCCTCTTTTTTGTCCTAGTTATTATCTCTGGAAATGCTTATCTTGTATCTAATATTTCACTTACACAGCAGCAATTCAAATATTTGAAGGTGGA